CACACTGGCACTGCGAACACAGTCCTGGCTGTAGGTAATTTTCAATTTATATTACAAGGACTGCGGATATACAGTAAGCACAAGGCGTCAGCCTCCCTAAGTGTCGGTATTGCAACGGAACTAGAGCGCAAGGCTGAGGATCGTTGGCTCTGATGGCCAGGTGTAATGAAGCGCAAAGAGCGTGTGCCGAAGGATTGATTAACGAGGAAACAATACTACAGAGGCAACATAAAAATAGCAGGGAGCATGGATATAGCTAGCCTAGGAGCACACGGTCGTGGCTCAGCAGAGCTGCGACGTGTGATTCATAAATTGGCGCGAAGCACCCAGATCTAGGCATGAAACAACAAGGCGGGCAATAATGCATGTGGCTCTTTGGAGGCCTCATTTCGGACAGCGATTTGAATTTTGTGGCAGAGCTGCGCGACAACCCCGTTATAGCTGTGTACACCTTACTAACTGAAACCCGTGATAAGGAAATACCATTTCGTTACAACTATTTATCAAACGTCCATCACTTTCATTATCTTTTCCAAGAACACTATGGTTGTTAGTGGGGTCATTTGAATCAATCAGCTCATAGAAATTGTAATAACCCGTAATCTCATTATCAACGAAGCACTTGTTGGAATTAAGAAGGGTCGCCTTGTTCAGAGGCATGCATGTAATTGCCGGATGTTGTTTATGATCGGTAAAGATGTTTCTAGATTTTCCCCCACATAGAGCCGGAGTAAAAGTGCGGGCTACCATTGTAGTGATAGAAACATTCCTAATGTATTCTGCTAGCGCAATTTGACTATTGATGAACCGATAGACTTATGACGGCTGCGTTTTGCTGGATGGGTAGTAATTGACGACCTTTTTATTACTAACCAACCACGTCACGAGCTTCCATTCCGTCAACGACCTTAGCAACATAGAGGTTTGTTCGTTATACAGAATACGGTTTGCTTAAAACCTGCACCCCAGATTGTTCAAATGCACTACGTATGAACTTTGAGCTGAGGTTGCACGAATCACGCCAAAAAATCGCAAGGGTGTTTCAGCTCGCAAATTGGAACTAGTTCCTAGACTGCCAAATTAGCAAAAGCGAAATTGGGAGGCTGCGATTTTTTTTATTTTTTATTTTCCAAATTAACTGGGGGGGATGTTGGATTTTACGCCGTCCCATGGGAATGTGAAAAAAAATGGACGGACAAAAAACGCCAGGCACTTGATGTTCCAGAATAATCTTACGAATGAACTTGAACAGCACTACTAAGTGACGAGAGTCACGTTACCCCTTTACATCCACGAAAATACAACTTTCAAACGCAGTAAGTTTGGTTGCCGCCCCTCATTTGGGATGCATGTTTTATTTTCCTCACGTTCAGAGCGCTGCAGACCCTGTTTCGGTAGTTTTAGTCGAAAATGTATCGCAAACGAATTTGTCAGGAGAAGTCCAACTCGAAATTGGCAGGCATGATGAGCAAAATTGAAGGGTAATTTGTTGACAGATCTGCAACATTGAGCTGCTGATCTGTATGGTTATGATTTGTTTACACAATTTAAACACGCCTTTTTTCTGATCCGCGCCATTATGAACTATTCTAAATCATTAGAATTCGTGTGGATTTCCGGTCTGATCGATGGAAAGATGGTCCCCACCATTCACAATGTGACAGGTGGGCACACACATGTTTCAACACCCTAATTGCAACAGAATTCCCTCGTTTTTCGCGATTTGTTTTCCTAGGGGCGCTAACTTCGTTATCCGCGACACAATTGTCTTATCAATACACAAACAATACGAGCATGCATTTTTGCCATTTGGACCAATACGACAATAGTATTCAAAATATCTGTAATATATGTTCGATAATCCGATAACATAATGATATTGTATAACTATAATTTATTTTAATATATCATTTATCATATTAAAAACATGTGTTGGGCTACTTTAGAGGGCATGGATGATTCTCGTTAAAATGAAAATAAACAAAGTTTGCATTTACATGATTTTTTTTCGAGAAACAAACGCTCCATATTTGTGGCCTTTGGAATGTTATAAAAATCAATTTCATGTTCGTGATATTATGAATACCCATTGTTCAGGCATGCCACGAATAATTATTCACTTGACATTCAAAGGTTTATCCATTTATCAACTAAATATATGCTTATTCGATTTGTTTCTATGGGATCGTTTTGATGCTGATAGCGAAGTTAGCAACCCTAGCGAAAGGATCCACGAAAATCGAGGGAGTTAAGTTGCAATTGCGATGTTGAAACAGATGCGTGGTTTTCTAAGGTATCGAAACGAGTTCGATTGTCCAGTGAATAGGTTTCCAATATATAAGGAATAACACGTGTATTGCGCATTAGGACGGGCTGAAACGAGATGTGTGGAAACAAATTCTGATGTGTATTCTTAGCTGAAACGCGATGCGCCGATGTGTCACCACAAAAGTACTGAAAACGAGCAACCCACCGTTCAGATCTGAAAATTACGCTGATGTTTATGTCTTAGAACTGCTTGTAATGCGTCAGATTAAAATGATGACGTTTCTAGGTCGTGAGAAAAAATCTTAAAGCGAGGGTCTCAAGAAGCGGGAAACCAAATCCAAAAGGTTTGGTTTTGGGTTGACGAAATTAGCGAAACAGTAACAGCGCCCAACCAGCACCCCTCACCACACCTCACAATTTTCGAGACCCCCCGAAACCAAAACCTTTGGATTTGGTTTTCTGCTTCTTGAGACCCTCGCTTTAACCGTACATATCAGCAGCTCAATGTTGCTGTTCAGTCAGCAAATTCCTCCAGATTTGAAGGATTCATAAGTAATCGTAATGACGCGGATAAGAAAGATGACGTATTTTAGTTGAGAGTACAAACCGTAATCGTACTGCTCGGGAGCTCAATGTTGCTGATCTGTCAGCAAATTACCCGAAATTGAAACCCTTGAGACTTGGGGGGATGGGGGGAGAGGGGAAGGGGAGGGCGTTGCGCTTGCGGTTGGAACACTCCATTTCAGAAGCGACAGTCCGAACGAAGACAGCGGCGACGGGACGACCACCTCTGCCAGCCTAGCTGCGGTCAGGATCGTCTAATTTCAGTCGTAAAGCGTCATTCGTGGTGATTCCTTCCAGCACCTGACCATAGAAACCTCGTTCGTACAGAAAATACATACGTTTATACACCGAAGTTTTCGTGAAGCGGGCCTTCTGCTCCTCGCAATATGGTATTTCGATGTAACGGCGTGCTGTATGTTTTCTTCCCTTTCCTGCCCGTCGTTTTTCTCAATTTCCTCAGGTTGCGGAGTGGCAACAGTTACACCACCAAGTTGAGAGATGTGCACGAGGCAGGGACTTTTTTTCGCTGGTTCATGTGACCTTGGTTTCGGCGATTGCCCAAAACCGGTCAGTATGGCTTGCAACCTTTCCGTTTCCCGGCTCAACGAATGTTGGTGTTTACGAGGGATTGGGGTTTCGGGGTTGGTGTTTATTTGTGTGTATTATATCGCTGACATTGTTCGTGTTAGGGGATGGAATCGATCCAGAATTACCCGTAACGGAAAGAATCTACGGAAAACTACCCGCTCGCATACGGATTCGATGACGAGCTACCCTTCGTGTTATACTACCGTCCTCATAGACTGAGAGCCTCCGCCACGGCTCAGAAATAGCCGAGGTTAACATTCAGGGTGTGAGATGTTTCTCGCTCCTGCTATCCCTTAGGAGGTCAGAAGAGTAGAAATCTTCCTGCTCGTCTGCCTCCAAAACAGCAGGTAGGAAAAGATAGTGCACTCTGGGCTTAGAACTGGAGGGAGTATAGGGGGGAAAGGGGTGTGACACAGTAAGAACGGATGTTAAGGAAGTAATCCGTAATGTTAAGGAATCACATGGAATTCACTCCGTTAAGTGGACGGAATCAGGATATTTCAACTCGTAAAAAGACGGTATCCAGCGGAAAACAACCCTTATTGTCTTGACATCAAGGGTACTTGCGTGTCTTTGTAAGAGGCGTGGTCTCGACTGACCGAATGTATTTTTTTACATAAGTAATGTACATTAACTGTGCGCTTGTCTGCTTGGCTGAGCTAGCTACAGTAATCGGTGTTGTACTGCCCGCGCCGCTGAGTGGCGCTGTACGGTCGCAGATTCCAGAAACTGCCACAAACTCCCACCTGCCATCAAAGTCTTCCGCGAGTTCCGTTTTCACCGACGCCCTGCTCTTGCGGTGCTTGCCCAGATTCCATTTGGCCGTTGCGTGTAACCCGCTCCGCCAATTCGCCGAACTGACCAGTCTGCGACAAGTCATGCACGATGCGACGCATGCGTGGGCTATGGTATGGACTGGTTCTAGCGACCATGCTGACTTCGCGTGGGCTCCTTGCGACACTCTCCGCGCAAATGTTGCGCGCCACAGCCACCACCACTCGCTTCCCTCCCTCCTTCCTCCGATCACCCCCAGTTTCCCCCTTCTTTGACGGAGCGGCTGGCAGAAAATCTGAGACCCTCATCCTTGTCGGTTGCATTCCCATCACCTCACCTCACCGCACTTTTAACCCTAGACATCGTAATGTACCCAGTCTCTTCGCACTCTTCTCCAGTCAACGAGAATATGTTTTTCTTCCCCAATCCCCACCACCCGCTCACTGCGACGCTGTGACCGAGAAGGCCTCTTCGGAAAGGGGTTTCGGGGGAAGGAGGGAGGGCGGGGGACGGAGGACGGATGGCGGAAGGGAGAGGGTAACGGGCGGAGGAGGTGGTTGTTGGGGGGGGGGGGGGAGGGAGAGAGGGGGAGAGCGAGTCTCACGGGCAATTCGCGAGCGAGCTCCAAACGCAAGAGCAGCAACGCGAGCAGTCATCTCCATCCAGCACCACCACAAGTCAGCAGTTCGGACTCGGTCGGGACTGGCTGCGATGGATGGGATGGCATGGGTGGGACGCCAGCACCAGCAGCAAGCAAAGCAAAGTAACCCATTCACACACAGCAGCAGCAGTCCGTGGAGTGGAAGGTGCCATTCTGATCTGAGGATCTAGCTAGCACAAGAACCGTCCGTCTTTCCGTCGACTCAGAGAGCAGCGCTCGAGCCAAGTCAAGAGGTCACGCGTACAGTGAGGTTCTGTACATGCGCAAGAAAACTGCTGACTGGTGCGTAGATCCTCTCCAGCCTCCTAATCCGCGATAACCTCAACCCTTCGCGAGCCCTTTCTTGAGACGCATGCTACGTTCGTACCATATTCCAGTGCTGCTACCGTTCTTCTTAGACTTAAACTCCTGGTCATAGGAGCTTGTTACTCTACTCATTTAGAGCTCCCGGGAGCTCGTTCTCTCTATCGCGTCTTTGTATTAGTAACAACCCTAATCGCCAGCTCCCGCTGTATCCGCTACCCTCAGAAGCCAGCCGAGGTTACGTCTGAAGATAAGTCCCTGTCGTGAAACCCTACGTCGCTCCTGTGTAACATACACTACGTCCTCTCTCTCGTGTACGCTACCGTCGTCCATCGCTGAAGCTGTAGTACCAATAGGTCTCCGAACACTCGGAGCTACCCATTGCCACGAACGGCGCATGTACTTAGTAGCTTCAACGGTTTATAGGCTCCTCCTTTCTTTTCCTGAAACGAATCGGGAACAGCTTACGTCTTGACCTGGTGCCGGCGGACTGCCTAGTGATTTCCCCCGTCTCCATCGCGCCTCCGCGACACAGCGTGCGACGGCTGCGACAATAGCGAAGCGACTCTAGCAAGGCGACTCTAGCAAGGCGACTCTAGCAAGGCGACTCTAGGCGAGATCAGGTCGTTTGGGAACGGCTTGTGTCAACATCACTCCTAACCCCATCATCCACGCCTCTACCGTAGACTCCCTCCATCGTTTTGTACAATCCTCTGCGCCACGCAGCCATGCCTCGGGCTTCCTTCTTCGCCTCGTCCGGGCAACGAATTGCAGAAGGCTCTCTCAGCACGCGATCCGTTGACTCTGCCGCGTCAGCGTCTGCCGCTTCGTCCGGCTCTCCGTCACTCGCCGTGCCTACCGCCGCCGAAGCCGCTGACTCACGCAGATGTTCTTCCTTCGTTTTTACGGCGTCCCGTGCTTCCTCCTGCCGTTCGCAGTCTGCATCTCAATTCCGAACCGGACGTCGGTTACAATCATCTCTCCAGTCACCCGTCTCGCTGCAACGGTTGCCAGTGTCGGTTCTTTCTCCGTTTCTGCCGCTGGTGGTCCTGGTCGTTATTCTGCTCCTCTCCGCGTCTCACGCTGACGCGTGTCCGCGCCGCCTGCTGGCCCAGCCGCAGTCTCCGCTCTCCGGCCTCGTTAAGGACGACATTGTGGCGCTTATAGCGGAGCTCCGCGACATCAAGAAGCACTACTCCATTATCACGCAATACATGGAGCAGCTAGGTGCGTCGAGATGGACGGCAAGGCTTGTCTGCATCTCCTTGTGCCCCATTGTTTCCCATTTCTTTCCCGTCCTTCTCCGTCTGATTCCCCGTTCGCTTTCGGTTTCTCCCCTCCCCCCCCCCCCCCCGACCATATTCCGTTCGCGCCATCCGTTCCGCATGCTCACCGCTCTCCTCTCTCTTCCCCCTCCTTTCCTTCTTCCCCCCCCCCCCCCTCCCCCCCTCCCCCACCCCCACTTCCTGTTCCCTTGTCGCAGTGGCGGTTCCGAACGCGGATTTCGCGTGGGCCGCCAACACCACGTGGCTGCTTCCCACGGATAAGGCCATCACCATGGCTCGGAAGAAAGATAAGACGTTCACGGGCACCATCACTCCGTGCCACTTCATTCAATTCCGCCGTGCGTACAGCTACCAGGAGTGCGGGGAGCCCACCCCTTTGATCTTCCTAGAGGGGAATTGGATGGCGGGATCTGCAGGGGGAAACGGCGCGGATTTCGGTGGGACGACTTGTACTGTGAAGAGATTTTTGCCGCCGGCGGCGCGTGTGGTGATAGGGAGTGTGGATGACAAGAAGACGCGGGGAACGATTGTTCACCCGAGCTTGTTTGAAGGGACTTACTTCAGTGCGCATGGTGTGGATTCACTCATAATGCCATGAAGGGTCCAAGAGAGATGGAAGGATGAGGCTTGGTAAAATTTGGGGGTAACAGGTCGGGGGTATTTGTTGGGTTAACTGTGTCAAGAGCATAGGCTCCTCATTTTCCTATACCTATCTCTAGCTGGTAGAACTTTCTTCCAGCCTAAACAAGTGACTGAGCTTATGTCTTAGCCTTATTTCCTATCAATGTAGTGTCTGTTGACCCCGTGATTGTTTTAACCTACCCTTTGGTCCTATCACATCCCAGAAGTTAGACCCAGACACCAAACAAAACAAACAAATATACACAAGCCCATGCTTCACGAAGTGTAGCCACCTGCGGATCAAACGGGGCTCTGTAAAAGCACAGCGTTAATCCCCTGCGCCGTGAAGTACCGCCCCGAGTACAGACTCGGATGGACAATCTGCGCTCGTGGCTCCTCCACCCCCGAAGGCCCGAGGTACACTGCGTTTTCTGCAGGGGCATACCTCTGTAATACACTCCCCAGCTGTAGGGTATTCACCGTCCAGCCCTCGGGCTGGAAGACGATGGGGAGCGGCTCGCCGCACACCTGCTTGCTGAACTCGAAGCGGCCTTGAATGACGTGGTTGGGCAGGAGCGACGTGAGCGCGGAGCCTTGCCCGCGGTTGAAACCCGAAGCGGTGAAGGTGGTGGTCTTGGGAAGCAGGAACGTGGTGTTGAGCAGGTCGAGCAGGGGGATCGGCGGCGATGGCTGGAGAACTGGGCGGTGGGGGAGAGAGGGAGGGGAATGAAGGGGAAGGGGGATCGAAGGCGTGTGAGAACGACGCGAGAGATAGGTAGGGAGGGAGGGAGGGAGGGAGGGAGGGAGGGAGGGAGGGGGAGAGAGAGGAGTTGACGGCGGCAGCCTAAGTTGGTCCTTCAAAGACCGAAGATGCGGTGGCTAGCTGGAGAAATGTTAGTCGTCAATCCAAGAAGAAAAAGGAAAGAGAGGGCCAATCGCGAAGGGCCAGAATATTCAGACGAGTCGCGCCAAAGACGAGAATCCTACTATAACGAGAGGTTGCACAAGGGGTTGGCACAGCCGGGAGAGAAATTGTGCGATTCGGAAAGGTAAAGCGAGCAAGTCGTAGAAATAGGAGAAAGCAGGAGCAAAGAACGAAGGAAGAAAGCAGGAAGGAAAGACCAGAGCGAGAAAGCGGCGCCGGAGCGAAGAACCGGCGGAGCCAGAAAGCGGGAGTGGAGTGGCGTACGGGTTTGGACCATAGCAGCCGCGACGTTGTACTGGTGAACCTTCTGCAGCGCGTCGCGGAGATTAACTACCTCCGCGCGGACATCCGCGACCGTCGGGCCGCTCTGCAGCACGCGTCGCAAGCACGTGCTTTCGACGCCTCCTTGGAATGAGAGGAGAAGAGCGAGAAGGAAGCACGACGTCGCGACACGACGGGAAGCGCAGTCCACGCGGCCACACCATGGCGTATTTTTGGCGCGTATGTTATCATCCCTTCGTGATGACGTTGTGCGACGGCGTGCGACTCGGACGACGTTGAGCGACATTGGAGAACCGTTCAACGGCTAAGATAAGAACTGCTAAAGAAATCTTCTCCTAGAACTACTGGGGTGAAGGAAGCCTTTCAGCCAACAATAACCTGATATGAACGTCCGAGGAGTCCTCGTGACGGGCGGGAGATAAAGAGTTCGCAGTAATGGTTGCACAAAAGTAGCATCGACTAGGCGACACTGCGAGGGGGACGGATCAGCGATCGTCTGGTACGTGCGTACTATTCCGTAAAGGCTAACATGCACAGGAGTCTATTTTTGAGGCGCCTAAAAAATGGGCTAACGTGAGCAGATTCTTATCGTCACGGTTAGGCTCGTCTCGCCATGAGTGCGAAATCTGACGCTGAAGGAGTGCGCGCTTGAAACGCGTTCTGACTAATTAAATAGTAAATAGTAGGGCCTCGGAGCGGTGGTAACTCCGAGTCATGTATGCGACGCTACGCGTTACACGGGCCTTGGAGTTCAACTGGTAAGAGAGAGTGAACGGAGACTGAGGAGTCGGAGAGCGGGGATCACATCACAATAGAAGAGAAGCCACTGGAACGACAATAGGAGCTCCAACGTTTCTGAGAGGGTGAGGTGGTGTGATGTGAAAAGAGGGAATGACGAAGAGGAAGGGCAGGAAGGAGAGGAGGGAGAGGATGCAGGGAGGGGGGGAGCGAGGTGAGGTGAGAGAGCAGAGGAGCGACAGGAGGAGAGAGGAGAGGAGTCGGATGCAGGGAGGCTCAACTGGCAATGTGGTTCTCGCCTAGAGGCTCTTCCCCACGCCACGCCACAGGTGAACATGGGAGCTGGCAACTGTAGCTCTCGGCCAAAGCTCTGGACCAATGTGGTGCAGGGGTTGCGTTGGGTGGAGGGGGCGGTTTGTGGTGGTGGTGGTGATGCTGTGTTGTTCGTGGGGTTTGCTTGATGCTGCTACTGCTGCTGCCCTGCATGGCTGGACGTCTGCCTCTCTGTTTTGAGGTATTGAGGAAGATCCGACACTATCCCCATTTGCGCTTGAGAACCCCTTCTAGAACCTCCATGCTTCCTCGATTATTGACAGCAACATTTCAGTACCGTAAGATGGTTAGACGAGTCTTAAGTGCTGTCTGTCATCCGCTGTCATCCAATGACAGAATGAATCGGCGCCGTTGTCATCCACCCGTACGGAATTCAACGGGCGAGAATCGTTCTGTCACCCCCGTCATTCGCTAAAACAAACCCTTTAAACATTCTCTTCGAAAAGTATCGTGGGACGAGAAGTCGAGGCTGGACAGCAGCTCTGAGAGTTTAGACTTGGAGTTACCCCGACCTGCTGCTGTCCCTTGAGACATGTAGAGCCCCAAAAAACAATTTGCATGTAAGTAGTCAAGCAGACATGGTGGGAGGTTGTCGGGCTGGCAAATCTGTCTTCATTGTCGAGCTTCTGAAGGTGGGACTTGCAAGGGCTGTCTGGTACAGCGGCTCCAACGCCCACAACACACAAATGGCAGACGGCCCTGGGAACGTGATGGACAGCCCTTTTCGAAGGATGAACAACACTTTGCTGAGCTGGCCCATAAATGATCTGAAACCATGATAAATCCTTTTGGAGTTGGGAATATAACTGCACCAAAGGGATTTTTTTAGCATGATACAACACGTTGTACAGTTTGTGTAGCAGTTGGAGCTAAACTGTACAGTTAAATCTGGGAACACGCGTTTGAGGCCTCTGGCTAAGGCTTAGGGAATTCCGTTAGGGAAAGGAGTCGGTCCATAGTTGCCCTTTAACGTACGGAAATTACTGAAACCTACCCGTCAGCATACGGATTCGTCAACGCGGTACCCTTCGTCCTATACTACCTCAACACAGACAATAAGCATTTGCCAGTGCTTAGGGAGAGCTGAGGGAAAACACGTAAGGTGTGACGTGTTTCTCGCTCCTGCTATGCCTGGAGTCGGGTCGGGAGAGTACTCTTCCTGCTCGTCTGCCTACAAAACAGCAGGTAAGGATTGACACTGTACTCTTTGTGTGGAAGTGGAGGGAAGTGAGTGGGGCGGGGGGGTGTAAACATAGTAAGCACGGAATCAAAGGAAAGTAATCTGAAAGTTAGGGAATCACACAGGGTCCTAGTTCGTTATATGGACGGAATCAGGAAACTATAACTGTGCATAAAACGTAATCCAGCTCAAAACAACTAAATCTGTCGACATTTAGGGTAATTCCTATTTTAGTGAGAGGCGTGGTTTGAGGCGCAAAGTTCGGCCCAGATGGTTCCATTTGGCCATCACTACAGACAACATTTACAGCGGCCTTGTTGGCGAGCCGTTCGCACTTATGGACGTGCTTCGGACCATTTTGCTAACCGTACTGGGCTGGTTGGAACCTCGACCCCCTTGGTCGTTTTTTTCTCTTTGAAGGTTACTCCGTTTGTGTGCAGGGCGCAAGAGTTGAAAAATCGAACGTAACTGCAAAGTAAACAGCAATTGTCATAGCACGTATGTATATGGATTCTCGAGTAATGGAAACCATTTTCTGTCTTTATAATTTTCTCAACCATAATAGCTAGTACGTAACAAGAACTTGTTGGCGTAGTAATGGGTGTATATAATGCTGAAAGAACTCATTAAATATATCAATCATATATATATATATATTTATATTTATTTGTTTTTTAATTATATTACTATTTTGTACTTCACCATTTCGTGTGATATTTTAAGATGTTCCAAAAAGAAAATAGGCATGTCAATTAAATTATGTTACTGCGTAGTTACCCTCTCAGGCATAAGGGCTGGTGGCCGTCCTCTCCCTCCGATATCTTATCAGCTTCTTCCACCACACGTCAACTGCCGATTTTGGCATTTTGGCCACGCCCAAGACCTGCCTATGGGATGCGGGCCGCATTGGTCCCAAATATTACACTCATTGGCCCAGCTGCCTAGCTAATTATACAACAATATTTACCCACCCTTCCCACACCATACTTGCACAACAGACTGGTGGTGTCGTGCACAGCTGTCGAAAACTAGTAACTCTGCTTTGATCAAATGCTTTTTATGGCACAGTATAATTTGCTATTGGTTTGCGTTTCTGAAGGATGATAATGAAAATCTCCTTGCTCTGAGGGGCCTGACTTGGGCAGAAGGGTTCAGCTGTTCTTGACCAACCGTGGTTCGGAGTGGGAGCGGAAGCGCACCGCTCCATGGCTCAACTGTAGCAGGTGCCAGAACCCAAACATGTCCCTCTTGTGGCGGGAAAAGGTTTTTACGGGCACTTACCCGTCAACCCGAACTAGTCTGGCTGCGGTAGGTGTGCGTGAGGCGAACCCCTAAAACCCGTTTCAAATATTTTGGTATGCACTAGCTCCAGCCAGGCAGAACCAGCAGGCTTCATAATTTGGTTTCGCAACCAAACCTGTCGCTTCCCAAAAAACGCTTCCAGTGAGGTTTGTGCGGGTAAGAGGTTATTTATTTATGAAATTCGAAGAGAGTGGTGAGCTGCACGCACAGCAATCCCCCACCTCCCACCACCATCAGTGCATCAGCAGTACCTCGTTACGCCTTGCGCTGCATCTCGCCTTGCTGCAACCCAATCTCTCGCCTTGTCTCGTCTCATCACAATTTCTCTCCCGCGTCGTCGTTACCCCTTGTCGATTCAACAGAACACTTAGGGGCTAACTCTAAACGTCGGTGCATCCACACCTCCTGCATTTAGCAACAACACGCAGTTGTTACTCTGTACTGAACGAAAGGCGTTGGGACAACCACACCACACCATGGGGCTGCAAGCCACCCCCCCCTGTTTGCTAATTTACGCCTGAAACACAAAACTCGTTATATGTTTAGGGATACGCCCTGGCGCAGCACCACCTCCTGTGTGCGTCGTCGCTTCGTGAATCGTGTCATCCCAATCACGCACTGCAGCGTTTTCTAAACACGCTAACCAGGCTTCGAAGGTTGCTCCACTCAAGTCGATTGCTTCAAAAGCTCCATTATCGCGAGCTGACAGCATCCCACGCTGTTTTTTTTACAGTTTCTGTTTTCACTCCTCATCTCACACTCTCCTGAGCAACTAACTCGTCGGCTAGATTGCTGCTTTCGGAGTAGCAACTTGAACGAAATCCGTAGGTGTTTTTTGAGTCGACTAAAAAATCCCCGATCTCCCCTGCTCGATCTGAGTTCCAGGCATTACAGTCGCTACCTTGTTCCGCCGCCGTCCTCGGTGTGTCTGATCGAATTGGATTGACTTTCAGGCGAACGAGATACGCACGGATGGCGGTATTACCTTGAAGCTCGACTTTCCCCTCCATGGATTGTCGCAGTTCTGGAAAGAACTCCGATTCCTTCAATGGATGCGTCTAACTCGGAGGTTTGGGGACCAACTCCCGAGGCTTAACCCCGCACCACGCTTTTCCGAGCCTCGCAGGCTCGGCTCAAGAATTTCAAGCTCGGCAAACGACATTCCGGCTCGGCAAGCGACAGTCAGGCTCCGCAAACGACCGTCAGGCTCGGGAAACGACCGTCAGGCTCGACAGACGACCGTCAGGCTCGGAAACCGGCATACGTAGCATGACGATGCCGCGGACGTCCACGCCGGTGCAGCCGGTGATTGTAGTGGTGGGGCGCAAGTATTGCAAGCCGTTCGATACCGTGCTTGTAATGAAGGACCGGCCGTTTTCGACGGACAAGGAGACGGAGATTCACGACGTCGTCGGGAACCTGCACTTCAAACTGTCGGCCAAGTGAGTAGTAACGGGTAACGGGTAGCGGGTAACGGGTACGAGTCGGGGACACTAGCTACGGCCGCGGCAAACGAGAGTGACGGAGCGATGACAGTAGCGACTCGGGTGGGGTCGGTGGCGGGTGCACTATCGTCGCTCCGGCTGCACGTGCTCAGTACAGCGCGCGGGTACTACCCGGAAAGTTCCTAGTAGGCATCAGCGACGGGTGGGGTCGGTTCCTTGCAACGACTCGCGCGCCGTGCGAGTTCAAGTTCGGCTTTTATTCTCCGACCAGAACCCGCCACGTGCCGCCCCTCCCCTCTCCCCCCCCTCCCCCCCCCCCCCTCCCTTCTCCGCCGCCGCCGTCGCCGCCGCCGCTTCGTAGTTCCAAACGGAGCTTGCGCGAGTCGCGCGGCCGAACCGGTCAGTCGCGGCCGAAGCTTTTTGGATCCACAGGCGCCGCGATCAGCTGGGGAACTCCATCCAAGTCGTACTTGGAGGGGGGAGCTAGCACGATCGCGGCGACATTGGAGCTATGGCGGTCGGTGTCGGGCCGCGAGGGGGAAGCTAGCAGGATCTATGGCGGAAGCAATGGCTCGCTTCTCATCTGAGCGGTACAGGGCGTCGCGGATGGAACGGGTGTGACTGTACCCATTGTGAGGCTCCCCCTTTCCCCCCTTCTCTCACCCCACCCCCCCCTCCTCCCCTCCCTCCCCCCCCCCCCCCCATCTCCCCCTTTCCCTCAACCGTTACCCTTCCAGGCCTCTATCCATGCGGTCGAAGCGGTTCATCCTAGACGCAGACGGTCAGCCGGTGTGCAACCTGGTGAGCAAGCTGCTCACGCTGCACGACACGACGTACCTGTGCCCGGGGTGCGACGCCAACTCCGACACACACCTGCTGCAGGCCAAGAGCGGTGTCATGTCGCTGCGCCCCTGCATGAAGGTGCGGTGAGACTAACTCTTAGAAGACTGGGGGAAGGGTTGGGGGAAGGGTGGTTGTGCAGAGGCAGGGTTGGAGAGGGTGTGTGGGGGGAAGGCAGCCACCTGCTGCAGGCCAAAAGCGGCGTCGTGTCGCTGTGGCCCTGCATGAAGGTGCCGGTTGGGGGTTAGGGGAGAAGGAAAAAAAGGAAAGGGTGAAAGGTCGAGGGTTGGATTGGGTTGTCATGCGTGTGTGCAGGCGTGCGTGCGCGTCCCTGCACATCATTGCCCTTATCTCCCCTGCATCACATCTCCCCTGCATCACACCTCCCCTGCATCACACCTCCCCTTCCTGCCACCAGGTGTTTCTACGCGGCAACACATCCCTCGAGCCCGACATCGAGCTCACTGGCTTCTTCTCCAAGCGCAACTACCGGGTACCTTCCCTTCCCATGCTCGCAACTCCTGTCTCCTCCCGCCTAGCTTGAATCCCTGTCTCTTCCCTTGTCTTTTCTCTTTTCTCGTCAGTTGTTAACTTGTTAGCATCCAACCTCAGTAGTCACTTTCCTTGTCTTCCCACCTATTGCGGAAAGGCAGCAGCTTTGCTATTGCCCACGCTCAGTTCTGCTGCACTTTTTTGCCCACCCCCACCCTCACCCCCAGCTTGACCTTCCTCTTCCCCCCCCACCCCCCACCTTGGCCGCTCTTGGCCACTGATACCCTTCTCCACCCTTGCCCCACCTTGGCCGCTCCCCTTTTTGTCCGTCCCAGATTGTCACCCGGGACGGCATATTGCTAGCCGAGGTGCAGAGAGACGGCTTCACGCCTCGCAGCAGCGCGCTGCCACCCGCCGAGGCATACTACTATGTGCGCGTGCTGACAGGTGTCGACACCGCACTGGTGCTCGCACTCGCTGCGCTGGCGGACGACATGTTCCCAGAGAGGGACGCGGACAGCCTGGCAGATGACTGACTGACTGACTTGGGTGGGGGGGGGGTGGGGGAAGGAGAGGGAAGGGAGGGAGAGGGAAAGGAAGGAGGAGGGAGGGAGTGGGGCGGAGGGGAATCGAGTGTACGCCTTCTGCGAGAGCTCGCGCTCGCTGCTCTGGCGGACGGCATGTTCCCTGGGAGGGACGCGGACAGCCTGGCGGATGACTGACCAGTGGAAATGGGGAGGGGAGGGAAGGGGAGTGGGGGAAGGGGGAAGCGGAGGAGGGGAGGAGGGGAGGAGGGGTCTGGGTGGAGGAGTGTGACGAGGGAGGAGGGAGGGTAGGGGAGGAGGAGGAGGAGGAGGAGGAGGAGGAGGAGGAGGAGGAGGAGGAGGAGGAGGAGGAGGAGGAGGAGGAGGAGGAGGAGGAGGAGGAGGAGGGAAATTGAAGCGGAGGGGAGGGGGGACGAGGTTGGATGGAGGAGTGCGAGTATTCTAAGAGGCATTTTTTCTGCAGGGCGGGGGTGCTCGCTCGCTCTCACTCTCACACGGGCAGGCGATGCGCACAGACACTGTGACCAGACACCATGCACCCTGACCACACTGACGAGCCGTTATCATATTTACCATCCTGAATCCGCTCACTGCTCGCTCAGTACTGCTAACCTGTCACTCCTGCTACTACTCACCACCACCACTTCTCCTCCACCGTTTTCTCTACAGCCACTCTGAATCATTGACACTGAGTCACTGACTGCAATGACTGCAATGACTGCAAGGGCTGCAAGGGCTGCAAGGGCTGCAAGGGCGGACTAACAATGCTACTTGCAATGACGCACCACAGTTGACCACCGCAGTTGTCTTGACACACACCTGTCGTCACACCGTACCGTCCTGCAGCTCGGAGCCTTTGTTTCAGAACCATCGTCTAGGCGTCTGCTTTCCCAAGTCACCTTCTTGGAGCTTCTTGGAGCCTTCTTGGAGCCTTCTTGATTCTCACCACCCGGGTCGTCTTCTCCTCTTACATCCGCTGATTGCTGGCCCGTGGGCCGCCTTTGCATGCACTGGCCTGTGTGCGTGCTCCCAACAGGACACTGCCCATTCTCTCTCCCCCCCCCTTCCCCCCCCCCCCCCCACCTGTTAGCTAATCTCCGACGGTCCGACCCCTTGCTGCTGGGGTCAGTAGATTAGCTAACCAGGGCATGAGCTAAGTACTTCGGAATTGGATCCCTCAGCGTCTAATTTGCTGCTCAATCATTTTCGTATGCGCAACAAAGGCTTTTCCCCCTCTCCCCCGGTGCTGTTGTGCTCGTCGATGCTGTTTGAAAGCAATCTACCGGTACCACAGTACAGTTCAGTACCACTTCTTGGACAACTAAGTGTAAGAATACTAGAATTACCGTAATAGAAACAAGAGAGTATAGGGAAGATATAGGGTTGGAGATGTACTCTCTAAGAACACAAGCCTATCTAGCCTAAAACATCTACATGTAAACATATGTTTAAGTTGACACCAAAACCCTAAACGGAACAGCCGTAGCCAGGGCTGACTTTATCAGACTATTTACTCTGATTAGTCTGAAATCTCAGACCTGTTTTTTGGCCAAACCTGAATTTCCAGATAAGGCATTTTCCCAATCCTGATCCCTTCAGAGTACGATTCTAGGGATCCTGAGAAAATCAGAGTTGTCGCTAACCCAGTACTGAGTTTTCAGAGCACATCGCGTACAGACCCTGACTCATTACCTGTACAGTACCAACCTTCGAAAAATTTGGTGAAGTCCCCAATCGCTAGAGACATGCCCCACATACCCCACAACCCCTAAAAATTTTCGGCCAAGTCCCCGAACCCTAGAGACAACCCCCACCCCACACCCCACAACCCATCTAAAATTTCGGCGAAGTCCCGGAACGCTAGAGACATCCCCCACACACCCCACAACCCACCCTAAATTTCGACTAAGTCATGTTGTCAGATACAGTCCTCCCTAACACCTGGAACAACCCAGAAGTTTTGAATGAGACTTTCACTTTTTTTTGAACTGCATTGAAATGAGAGTAAATTCCGCATTTTTAACATAGGGAAATTCTCGCCAGTTGCCCGTTTGGTCAACTGAAAGTCTAACAAAATGTAACGGTCACGATCGTTTGCGATCGTTTCGACGTATATCAATCGTTCGATGTTATATAGCGATTAACGTCCAAGATTTCCCAACCGGGGCGCTGCAAGGGCGCGAAATTTCTCCCACCCTCCTATTCCCCAGCTTCCCCCCTCCCTGCCGTTTCGATTCCCCCCTTCCCCTCCATTTTCGCTTCCCCCCTCCCCTCCGTTTCGATCACTTCCCCCCTTCCCCTCCGTTTCGCTTCCCCCATCCTCTCCGTTTCGACCGTCCCCCCCTTCCCCCCCCTCCCCTCCGGTTCGCTTCCCCCCTCCCCTCCATTTTGATTCCCTCCCCCATTTCCCCGTCATTTTCTATTCCCCCTCTCCTCAGTTTCGATTTCCGTGGCAGTGCGATTTTACCCCCTCGGTTTTTAGGAATAACTTCCCCGTTTCCCACATTTAACAACTACGCAAAACGAGGGTGGACAAGGTTGCTGGTTGGGGGGGGCGCGGGCTGTGGGAGGATTTTTAATGCTGCAAGGAACTTAGCCGATTTTTTGGGAAATGTAGGAGGGAGGGATGTTTCTCGCTGTGGGGGTGTTTCCCGTGTGTGATTCTGGTTGTACGTCCTGGACCCTGAAAAAATCAGACTCGCTGAGTTCTGGACCCTGACATTTCAGACTACAAAAATTTCGGCTGAAGGCCCTTCAGACTATTTTTTTTTTGGGTGGGATTGGCTCAGAGTGCCTTTTTTTGAAACGTCAGCCCTGGCCGTAGCCCATAGCCTCATGGCATGAGAAGAGCGAGGCTAGCGTATCACTGCATAGCAGGGCAACGCATGCCCTGTCACTGCACCCACCGCAGGCAGCCACATTACCAGGGACATACCGTAATCTCCCGGTAATAGGGTCAGAGACCAGAGCGGCGGCGTAGTCAATGCGGCAAGTAGAGGCGAAGTCAGCGACAGCAACGACAAGAGCGTCAAGACTGGAGACGGGAACAGACGGGTCGGTAACGAGGGAGGCAAGGACCCGAGGAACAAGAGGACGAGCTGCACGAAGGTAGTCAAACAGAGGGGGAGGCGCGACAGCGAGCGACGACGGATGAGGGGAAGGCAGGAAGGGAGGACGAGACACGTGGGAACGAAGCAACGTAAGGTGAGAACGCGGAACAGGAGAGACGGGACGAGCCCGAGAGGGACAGCGAGACCAGACGTGAGACGGAGGCGTTGGGTCAGGAGACAGAGGAGGAGTAACAGGAGGGGAACGAGGTGGGAAACGGGCCGGGGACGAGTCCAGCGGAGGAAACACATGACCGTGGATAGGAAGGGGAGGAGGCAGCGGGGGAGGCGCAGGCGAGCACTCGGGGGAGGGAAGGCTGAGCAGGCAAAGGGCGGACAACGGCGGCGACTGCTGCTGTTGCTGCTCGACGCCGACACCTGGACCGCCAGCTGCACCGCTACTACTTCCGGAACACTCCACTCCAGCACCCCCACAGCAAGAACCCTCTCCAACACCGGTGCCACCCCCAAGCCCGCCGGGACAAGCCACGACAGGAACCCCAGGACTAGCACCCTCCTCAACGCCAGCACCCCCAGAGTCCACGAACGGCTGCTACTGCTGCGACGACGGAGGCTGCTGCGGCGGCGGCGGCGACTGCGACGACGGAGGAGGAGACATCGGGGGAGGGACAGGCGGCAAGAACTGCGCCGTAGGGCCACCAGAGTCAGCCGACTCCTCGACAAGGACAACAGACGGGAGGGGAGTGACGTGAGACACACCAGACGGTGCAGGATGGGGAGGAAGGTGAGCAGGGGCTACCGGGGGAGTGGGGACCAGAAACAGGGGAGGGGAAACTGGGAGACCTCGGTGAGGAAAGCAGTGACAAAATGAGACAGACTCGTTGAAAGTGGCGTTATGGGAGTGAAAGAACCGGTGAGACGGCGGGTGGTAAAAGAGCCAGTCAGATGAGTCAAGGGGGAAACCGAGGAAGACACAGGGGACAGTGCGAGCAGTGAGCTTGTCCGTGCCAGATGAACGAACGTGGGAAAGGCAGCCCCGGACGTGAAACGCGGACGCGTCACTAGGGAACCCGATCCAGTGAAAGGTCGGCAAGACCTGCGGCCGCTGGGAGCGCGGCCAGAGGTTAAGCTGGTGAGCGGCGTAGCGAATGGCGAGTGACTACCGAAAATGGGGTGCACCAGCATGAATCATGGAGGTACGAGCCACCTCCATGACCAAACCGATGCGTCGCTCAGCGACCCCATTCTGCTGCGAGGAGTCTGGTAGGGTGTACGACTGGGTGATGCCCTCCGCACGACATAACTGTCCAAGCCGACCAGAGGCGAACTGGCCGCCACGGTCGGAGTGGAGACAGAGCACAGGGAGACCACGGTGGAGGCGCGCAGCTACGACCCACGAGATAAGAACGTCAGGCACGTCGGCCTTCCGCTCCAGGGGAAACACCGTGGTGTAGTGCGTGAAGTCATCGACGAGCATAAGAAAGTAGCGCTCACAGCGCGGTCCAGGGACGGGGCCTAGGCCCCAGACGTCCAAGTGCAGGGTTTGGAGGAGAGCAGTGGCAGGGTGAAGCGAGGAGGAGTGAGGAGCATGGCACAGCTGGCCCTGAACGCAGGGCGTGCAAGGCGGTGCAGGCGAGGGAGGGAGGGCAGGACGCGATGCAGGGAGACCTAGGACGAGACCGTGCTGAGACATGTGACGCAGACGCGAGAGTGAGGGGTGACCTAGGCGGTGGTGCCACAGAAGCAACGGCTGAGTGAGCGACCGACACGAGCAAGCCGCAGCAACCTGGGTACACGCAGGACCCGAGAAGGACGTGCCCACTGGGGGGAAGTAGTGTCCAGCGTAAACAAGCCAGACACCGGGTCCCGGGGGAACTTCGCAAGGGGGGCACCTGAGGCGGACTCGGTACAGACAGCGTACTACTCGTGACCAGGGAACATAGTGGTGACACCGAGGTCCTGAAGACAGCCGACACCAACTAAGTTCCTGGAGAGCGAAGGGATGTGCAGGAGAGCGAAGGGATGTGCAGGAGAGCGAAGGGATGTGCAGGAGAGCGAAGGGATGTGCAGGAGAGCGAGGGGATGTGCAGGCCTGTAAGGGAACACGAGGGGATCGCTGGACAGGGAAGGGTAGTGTAGATGCGAGCAACAACAGGACCAGAAGAGGGGTCAGCAAATGTGACAGCGGCAGGCGTGACGAGCGGCGTGAGTGTGGCGTGGTCGCGAAAGAAGCAGGTAGATGCACTAGATTCAAGGGAGAAGGACAGCAAAGCAGTTGCGGCAAACGACGGAGGAGCGAGTGTGGAGCCTAGACTAGGCAAAGCAAACGGTCCTACGCCTGACGCAGCAGGGGTGTCTGTCCTACACACAGGTGCTATGCCTATGCTAGAGAACACAGGGTAATAAGATCCGGACACACTAGAATTGTCAGCATACAGAGAATGCAAGGCAAAACTAATCTGATCTATATCTATGTCAAAAACAGGCACACCGTGATGCAGCAGACTGATCCTGTCAGGGAGGTCCGGAGCCGGCTCGAAGCGGCGACGAAAAAGGTCGTCAAGGCGGTGGAAGCAGCGGACGATCAGGTGTGGGCGACGGCACACCGTGCCACGGAGGGGCCCGGTCTGGAGCTGGTACTGGCAGCCCACAGCACCCAAGCCGCTGGTAGACGCCGAGCTGCGAGGACCGCCACCTCGGCCACCACCTCCAGGGGCTCCTGGCCACCCCGGCGGGAGGCGGGCCCACGGCTGTTGCTGTTGCTGCAGCTTCTCCTGCTACTGCTGCGGCTGCAGCAACTGATGCGGCTGCTCCTGCTACTGATGCAGTTGCTGCGACTGCTGCGGCTGCTGCTGCTCCTGGACACCTGCCCCAGCCCCTTCGTCAGAGCCACTGTCGCCGCCACCACCACCACCACGCCCTCCTTTGGGGCCGCGACGGCCCCGATGCTGTCGCTGCTGCTGCGGGAAGGCCTCCGCTGCGGTCTCAGCGGCAGGAGTAGCTGTAACGAGGGCTGCGGAAACGTCAGCGTATGTTCACTGGGAGGGAGCACAGCCGTGAATGATAGGGACCGCCGCAACACCGCTTGACTTAGCGATAGTGCGCTGGCCAATCTCTATCTCAGAAAGGGCAGCGACAAAAGCGGTCAGGGTGAGGTCACAAGTGTGCTAGCTAAGGATGTGGTCGCGGGCAGTGGCTAAGCGGTCAGGCAGGCGCATGGCAAT